ATCTCCATCCTCGGCTCAAACACCAACCCCGATCCTCAATTGGACCATTCCAACCACAAGAAGTATCATGCTCTCTTTCCACTTCTAAGGCAGCATAGTATGCCTCATAGAGCCTTGATTGTCTCCTTATCTTTGGATGTTGTTTGAAACACTTGTCCAAGCCATAGTGGAAACGGTCTGTCAACATGTAGTCGTTCTCATCCACTTCTGAACTCAGAAACAACCCCTCTAATTCCTCAAAGTAAGATTGAATGGACCTACCATTCTGCTTACAATTGAGCAACTTCACTTTTGCTTCATCAAAGGTGTTAGTACCAGCATATCTTTCTCGCAAAGCACTTCTCAAATCATTCCAATCATCCAAATTACGAAACCAATAATGCGAGTAGATACTTGAAACTAGCTTCCACCAATTCAAAGCATTAGAACGAAAACAACCTATAGCTAAGGCTATTTTCTCACTCTCTTTCTCTATGTTAAGGAACACAAACAAATTCTCTATGCTCTTTTTCCCAAGTATCATATTCTCTATGACAACCATAAAACAAAGGCAATGACACTTGCAACATTCCAGCATACGAGGGTACTTGTTTAACTTCAAAACGATCACATAAGACTCTTAAATTTTCAGCAATTTTCTCAAAACTTACCATAGCTCTATCTTGCTGATTTGAAAGCAATTGAGACAAGTCTCGGTTTGCCTCCTTAACCTCGGCCAAAGCTTCATGTAGGAAGTCAATCTGACTCTTCATGAGCTGTACTTGAGCCTCCATGCGACCCTCTACACTCTTTGAAGCGATTTGAGTGCAACCAGCAACTCCGGATGGCATCTTTGCTCAACAATCTTGAGAATCCACCAACAAAAAAAGTAGTGTGCCTTGTTTACTACACAAAAACTCCTTGAACCCTAGAACCAAAGTATGGTTCGGCCAAAACCCCCCCAAGAACCAAAGGAAGGTTCAAATAAAGCTCTCCCCAAAAACAAAAACTCTCTTGTGCTTTTAAGAACACAACTCTCAAAAATTTCAGAATTAAAGAGAAGAGTGCTTCTCTTGCTTTTCTCTTTTGATCTCGGCAGCAAGAAAGAAGAAGAAAAATTGAAGTAGAGTGTGTGAGAATTTTCGAAAAACAGCACTCCTAGTTATAGGTAATGCAAGTCTTTTTGTGCAAGAAAACTCCTACAAGATAGGACCTAAATTTTCTCAAAAATATTCCCCCTTAATTGATGAAGGCTGCTCGACAATATGGAATAAAGAAGAAGAAAAACCGGCCTCATATATATAGACAAGGATAGAGTCCTAAAACTTAGGTAAACATAATCCTTTTTGGACACAAATTAAGAGAACTCATCCCTACTTATTAGAGATAAAATTTTCGACCCCCCTACTACTAAAAGGACTCAAATACACGGCCACACACATGCACAAATGTATTAGAAGACTAAAAAATTTTCAGATTAGGATAAGACTTCCTTATCTTAATAGTTTTCGAAAATAGACTCACTTTAAAACTCTAATTATAATCTCACTGAAATTATAATTTAACACATGCAAAAATTAGTATTTAAATCCAAGTAGGACTTAAATAAAACACACAATAAAATTGTATTACAATTAGGAAACAATGGCTGCAAATTTCGGCCAATGTGAACACAAAAATCCAAAACCAAATAGAACTCAAATCATAACACAATTTGGACTCAATGACCTTAATTTTATAGTTAAAATTTTCGGCCATGTGAACACACAAACACAAGACCAAATAGGTCTCCAAGTGTAACACAAATAGACAACCAAAATTCAAGTTCAACTAGAACTAGGAAAACCTAATTTTTAGCTTCACAATTCCGGTTATATTATGACTCTAAAATTCAAAACCAACTAGGCTTAGAATATCACATAAATCACACGCACACACATGCAAAAAGTCAGCAAAATTTCGGCCATTAACCTTTTACCACATAGTTAAAATTTGAAAAATTACTTTTGACTCACTTAAAAAGGAAACTTGAGAATTACCACTTTCCAAAAATGGACAACAACTTTTAGAATCTTTCTAAAAACCCTTTTCCAAATTGTACTTGGAATTAACAAAAATCACCTTTTTACCAAAACAATCCATGGCAAATAAAGTAACAAGAACACCATAATTATAAATCAATTATGACATTTGCTTCATAATACTAAATTCAACACAAATCATTCTGAAAACTCAATGACTTAACAATGCCATCTTCATAAGTGACCATTGAAAATCAATCTTTCAACAACCAAATATGTAAACTTTGAGAATACATCTCAAAACCTATAAGATTTCTTGTCAAACATTAAGAAAATCTTTTTTAGAAAACCTTCACTCAATTTTCGACCCTACTCTCGAAAATCAAGGTTTTAGAACACAAGTCAAAGACTTCAATCCTCAAAGTTGGCACAATTCAACTTCAAAGACCTTAAAACACTTTGATACCAAAACTGATATCACTAAAATTCATTCTTCATCACTTGACAAAGAAAGTTTTGACTAGAACTCAAAGTGTAAAACTCGAGAAAACAAGAAAACCAACATTGTTACTTTTGAAAAATCTTTTGACACTAAGATTAAACAAAATTCGGTCTCTATGAAATTTTCATGAATTGAAAATCCATAAATTCCATTTTACTCATTAGATTCAAATGAAACCAACAAGAAGGAAGGCTTTTTCATTTATACCTTATGTAGAAAGTACAAAATCCTTAAGCTTTACCTTTCAAAGAATAGATCCAAGATATTTACCACAAGATAAACTCTCAAATCTTCCTTATGTAAAGACATCTCTTTAGAAAGAAAAGGCTATCTCGAGCAAGAAGCTCTTCTTTGGCATCAATTCTCTCCTTAAAGATCCAACACATAAGATCCACCAACTTGCTCATAGGAGAAACAGTTCTCTACTTGCAAATCAAGGATAAATTTCAGGATGTAGCGCCCACTTTGATTAGATACTAACGTACCATCATCAAGTTCTCGCATAGACCTTAAAATAACACCACAAGATCAAACAAATGTGTAAGAAGTCTCGCACAACCACACAAAAGACAAGATCAATTTTGAAAACGTAGTTTTCACAAGAATTTGATTTATTTTTTCAACACCCCATTCCAAAACAAGAAGGAACCTTGAAACAAATAAAGATAGTACTACTCGTTAAGTAGCACAAAGCTCGATCACCACACCAAGTTACGGATTCCGTGGTAATTCAAGATATTCTCAAAACCAAGAACTATAAAGTTCCCAACTAAGAAGAAATCTCTCGAAAATCAAACTGATAATAGGAATTGACATGACAATATCAATTAATACCATCACTAAGATAATCCAAGCTCTGATACCAAGAAACTGATAGCAATCTCGTAGACGAAGCAAATTTCGTTAATGCAACCATCAACAAGAAGGTACGAAGATAATTTTGTCTATCCCGTGAAACTCAAAAGAGTGCGGAAAATTCACAAGAAGACGATCGTTTATCTAAGTGATTCTATCTCTTAACTCAAACCAAGCAAAGAACACATTATCCATGAAAGATTCGAATTAAACAACAACCCACGCTAAGAATAGCAAGGACACCATTCAATATACTCGATCAGTCATTAATCAAGAGACTCAAGAAAGGTAGGAGCAAACAATGCCCAACTATGAAGGAATACTATTGATTAGTAATCTTCATAACCAACCAAAGATATGCAACACATACACTATCTCAAAATGCTTATGCCAAAGCACAACTCATCCCAACAAAAGTAGGACAAACCCCACAATGGATCTCATGAACACACTCATCATGAAATTCGAACACCAAGTCAAAGGAAAGGCTCATCAATCGAACTACTAGAAGTAGTATGAAAATAAGAAGTTTAGTTTTAAAACAATTCTATCAAGAAGCATACTTGAAAAAGAATGGTTTCTGCAAGATCAAAAAGATCCAAGACAAGATGAAAACCCTCTTGGTTTAAACATACTTGACACGAAAAATGGACACTCCATTTAACAAAAATTCCTCATAGGAAAACTCTCAAAGAGACAACAAAAATGACCACTCAAGGGTGCTTCTAAAATTCGGCCAAGCCTCCTTTATATAGGCTTGAATTTTTCGGCCAGCACCTCTAAAAAGAAGACCAATTAGGACTCTCTAATCTTATCTCACAAGGAGTAAAAGTAGAAGAGTACTTGATCTCTTTGACTCTATCTAAAATCTAGGAAACCTTATCTAAATCACTTATCCTCAAGTAGGATAATATCTAGAAGGAATCTAAGACTCCTAATCAAAACACTCTAGCTTAATTCAGTCCACATGACTTATTTAACTAGATAAAATTCGAAAATAACTCCTAGACTTAGACAATGACTCTAATCTCGAAATTCAGCTCCAAATTATTGAAGTAAAATGTCTTGAACGCCCTTCCAAAAGTGGAATATTGGTCTTGCGCCCCTTAAGTTGTAGAAACCTCCAATTTACTCCAAAACTTGTAGAATTCACCTTATTGACTCCAAAAGAATGGAAAAACACTTAAAACAATTAAGATAGTTTGCAACCTATCCAATTGTGTAGCAATGGACTCAATCTTGGACACTTTGATCAATTAGGCCGTCCACTCATGAACCTAAATGACTCTTCTCACTAGCTTTGATCAATGATCTTCATGGAGCACAAAGAGTCAAACTCTCTTGATACTCTTCAGCACTTATTTTCATGAGGTCTTCATCTCCTTTGGTTTGCACCCCAAAGTTAATGACATTCTCATCACCTTGATCATAGCTCTCTTGAACCAACTCCCTATCACATAGGTAGTCAAGATCCATCCTTTCTTTCTTGATTGGCCTGCAAAGTAAACTTGGCATTCCAAATCTAGAATGAAGGACTAACTCATTCCCCTCACTAGGAGAACCTTCATGGAAGGTTACATGATTCTCATCAAAAAGACTCAAGAAGATCACCCATCACTAACAGGTCAATGAGTTCCTCAACCTTATATGTCATCTCCAAACCACGATCCCATAAAGATTGGAGTTCCTCTTGTTGTCGGATGGAATCCACTATGTTCCCCAAGAATGACCTAACAGAAACAAGTTCTTCTTTGATAATTTGAACACTCTCTTGAATAGTATTTGATTCGGCTTCATGACTTGGGAGTTTCTCCAGCTTTTATATTACAAAATTGACATAATCCAACTGATGAGTCGCCGGGAAGTTGAATCTTGTTAATTGTGGATCTTCCACTCCAACTTGTGCCCCAATCATCTTAAAGTTTCTAGTAAATCTTGAAGAAGCCCAAGGTCAAGTACTGTATTTACTTCACACAATAAGTAAATTAAGACTCCAGCATTACATACCACAGCTCCGATGTCTTTCGTAAATTTGTTAAGGCACGGCTGCTTGAAAATGGTGTTCATGAAGGATCTTAGTGCTCCAAAGAACTCTTGTAGTTGACTCTTCATGGAAATCGCAGGACCAACATTTAGTCGTAGATACTCCCAAAGATTAGTTATGATGAAATTGAGCCAGTTCTTCACAGTTGTTAAGGCATTATCATCATCCATGTGTGTGTGAGTAGGAGCAAAAGAATGTCTTGGACACTTTGGGCGACTCGTGGGTTGACTGTAAGCCTTATAGAGTTGAAGGTGATGATTCTTCATCATTTGCACCATTGACAGAATCTCACATTCTAATCATTCTCGAGTTTCTTTATCAGACCTAAAATAATATTCACAAGTAAACAGGAGAGATTCAGCAGCAAAAGCAACATCTACAATATGAACCAACAAATGTTGTGTGGCAACAGAACTCCTTTGTAGTGCAAAGCAGATAAGACAGTTCAAAAATATCATCTGCTCTTCCAATTCCTTTATTGAAACTATAATGCGAGTCATATGTCCTGGCATGAGAGTGATAATGTCATGTATATTCCCCAATTTCCAACAAATGATTTCGGAGAGTTCATTTGGGATAAGATAAACCGATTGCTGCCAAGCAGAATATGAAAGAACGAATAACCATTCTTCTATTTCTTCCATCGAAGACTGAATTTGAGTTTGGAACCTGAAGGCTATATCAAACATCGTGTTTTCAGCATCCGTACCAGCCAAAGGGGAGGTAGAGGGTGAATTTTCTCTGCATTTCTGCAAACAATATCTTCAACCCTTATCAACAAAGATGCTAGACATGCATTCTGGCTAAAAACTTCGGCAGAAAGAACAGCAAAAGGTTTGAGATTCCTCAACCACCGCTGGCCATGGTTGATAGAATTTTTAAGCAGCAAGTTTGTATCAAGTAAGGCAGAGTGAATACAATTAAGAAGGGAGGCTGCCATCTTAATTGTCTATGTTGTATCCCCCTCACCTGATACTTAAAAAAAAAAAAAACAAATAACCAGTTTGAAGAAATAGAGATGCATCATTGATAATTCTCTCATACACGTACAACACATATATATATATATACATAAGGGAAACCCTAATACACAATTACTACCGTAAATACATATTTACTACAATACACCCCCTCAAACTGACGGCGAAGACGCAAGAAGCCGAAGTGTGTCTCAAAAATGAAGAAATAAATCCTTGGGTAAAGGTTTGGTAAGAATATCAGCAACCTGATCAGCAGCAGACAAAGAGTGAATCAAAACAAACTTCCAACAGACACGATCACTTACAAAGTGAAAATCCACCTCAACATGTCGTGTACGCGCATGAAAAACTGGATTGGCAGCAAGGAAAACAGCACTAATGTTACCACCCAAACAGAAGGAGAGCAACGCAAGGAGACACCCAACTCAGTCAACAAATGACACACCCAGTGCAGCTCCACACAAACATTAGCAATGGCACGAAACTCAGCTTCAGTGGATGACCGAGTAACAGTAGGTTGCTTCCGCAAAGTCTAGGTAAGGAGATTTGGGCCCAAGTAGAGAAGAAGGCCAGTAGCGGACCTACGATCATCAGGACAACCAGCCCAATCAGCACCACTGAAGGCAATAATAGTTCCCAAGTCTGTGGGATAAAGGACAAGACCAAGATCTAGAGTGCCGCGAAGATATCGAAGAACCAGTTTGAGGGCCTGAAAGTGGGTGGTGCGAGGCTGATGCATAAACTGGCAGAGTTTATTAACCGCAAAACAAATATCTGGCCGAGTCAGAGTAGTGTATTGGAGACTACCACAAAGACGGCAGTAAGTGGTAGCTTCCTCAGGCGAGAGCAACGTGCCATCCAAGTGAGATAACAGAGCACCAGACTACATAGGAGTGGAAACGGGTTTGCAAGAACTCATATTAGCACCACAAAGCAAATCAGCCAAATACTTACGTTGAGACAAGAGGAGACCCCACAGAGTACGAGTGACCTCAACACCAAGAAAGTAGATGAGAGGACCCAAATCCCGAATAGAGAACTCCTTAGCAATAGCAGAAGTAACATGCTGAACAAAGTTTGATGAGCTGCCAGTAAAAATAATATCATCAACATAAATCAGAAGAAAACATAAATGACATCCTTGCCGGTAAATGAATAAGGATGGATCACATCGAGATTCCGAGAGACCCATGCTCATCAAAAAAATACCCAACCGAGAGTACCAAGCCCGAGGAACCTGCTTAAGGCCATATAAAGACTTATGAAGCTTACAAACATAATGAGGGTGCAAAGGATCAATAAAGCCCAGAGGCTGAACCATATAAACAGTCTCATGGAAAACACCATTAAGGAAGGCATTGCTAACATCAAGTTGCCGAACCAACCATCCACGCGATAAAGCAACAGCAAGAATAGTACGAATAGTAACCGGCTTAACAACTGGACTAAAAGTATCAGTATAATCAACATCAAAGGATTGGGTGAAAGCTCGAGCAACCGCCACGCTGAGTAATTTGCCCGAGACTGAAGCTTGACTGTGAAAGAGTGGTTGAGGGACTGAAGGCTCATCTGGAGGTTGATAAGCGGAGCAACAGTAGAAGAAGCCGCCGACTGAGAAGCAGGCGTGGCCATGGAGTTCAGACATGGTGATGGTCTGTTGAACGCCAACAACGGACGACTCAATAACGGACAGAGAAGAATCAGACAGGATTGGCGGCGTTGAAGAAGAACCAGCGAACAGAACGTGCTGGACGGAGAAGAAGACCGAAGTTCCAAGAACTTGGGAGGCGGCGGCCGACAGAAATTAGAGAGAAAAAAAAACGAGAGAGTCAAAAAAACCTTAGCTCTGTACCAAGTTAGAAGAAATAGAGATGTATCATTGATAATTCTCTCATGCGCGTACAACACACACATAAATATATATATATATATAAAAGGGAAACCCTAATACACAATTACTACCTTAAATACATGTTTACTACAATATAACCAAATGACAGAACGAACACCACCACAAAAACCATTAATAAAATTCTGCGTCAAAGATCTGGACTAATATTAAACAATCATACTGAAATTAAAATCATACAACTCATTTCATCCCTCATGTGTGATTCAATTACAAACCCTCCAACAACTACAAAAACTATATTCGAATCATTGAGCAAAAATTCAGAAACCCGTGTTGAATGCATTCAACTTAGAGTTAATCAGTTAAGCTTTCACCCAATTCATAGAGACAACCATGTATTCAGGATCGGCATTATTTCAATTTTCTCTATACACATGTATTATACTTCCTCCGTCCCAAAATTATTGTCCAGTTTGGATTTGGACAATAATTTTAGGACATAGGAAATACGAAATACATAACATGAGAAGTCTAAGGCAATTGATGTCTATATAAGAAATATATACTTAATTGTCGGTAGCGATGGAAAGTTGGGCAAGTCCGTTAGCATGTGAAATTAGAAATTTGACAGATGGGACTTGTTGATATGATTTTAAAAGGTTAAAATCATACAAAAAACTAATAATCTTATTCCGACTCTAACTCGTAGATATTGCAGAGTTTGAATGAGAATGAATCTAGAGTTTCTAGAACAACATGAGATAATATTCTTCGTTTATCCTAGTTCCTTGGAAAGAGTATTATTTAAATAGAAGACTCATGGACAATCGAGAGACTAATGCATCCAATGAGTTGCACTAGATCAGATAAATGCTTATGAAGTAAGCTGGCGAAATGCACACACGAGTAATAAAAGTGAAGTGCATTAGAATGTTGTTGTTGAAGTACTGAGGTACCTATGATATTCTCATGTTGAGCTACACATAGTAGATATCCAACTATGCTAGAAAGCTACACAGATAGAAATTGGATATTGGGTGCCGATGACTCAAAAATGCACTAATGGCTATGGATATGGTTGAATGCTAGCCTGGACATACGTGTCTTGAAAATCCCTAAAACTAGATTGTGATAGCCAGGTTCACAATAAAATCCGAATAATGTATCGGATAGTTGTGAGACACAAGCTAAATGGTATCGCAGGTTTTGAATAATATTTCAAAATGGGGATGATTGTGCCACTGTTCTATTAATCAGAGATGTGGAATGACACGTTGTGAATTGTATACTGGTAATTTTTGACATTATCTTGTTGTAGATACAGTATCATTATACAACTGTTCTCAACTATAGAAATCTTAATTGACTACGTGAAGTCAAAAGATAACATTGCAGATCCGCTAACCTGAGGGTTAAAAAGAGTGATAGTTGAGAAAATGACAAAAGAAATGAGACAGCCTGGAAAGTATAAAAGTCTTTTGAAGGAAAACCCAACCTAGTTGACTGGAGATCCCAAGATCTAGGTTCAAAGGGACAACCTAATCTTAAGACTTAGTGTGGTCACTGTGGGGGTAACCTCAACTCATTTCTGTCATGAAACAGTGATATAACGGATAAGGATAGCAAACTGTTGCTTTAATGAGTCTTACGTGAGTAATATCGTTTACTCTAAACTTATGAAGTCACCTATGTAAGAGAGAAGTGAGGCCGCTTCAAAGGAGAATTGGTCAGGCTCAATTCTTTAGATACTCTCGCAGAATCAGGACGTGTTCACGTCCTAAACGAACAAAACAATGAGAATGGAACAAACCGGAAATGGTTCCTGTGTATTGTATGTGGGTTCTTTACACAATACAACCGGACAGTTCAAGAGCATCGCGTCTACTGGACAGCTAGTAAAGCAAACATACTTTACAAGGGGGAAGTTCAAAGGGTAACACCTACTTTCTCTATGCAGGGACTAGTTGATGAACATCAAATCCTCTAACCAGAAACAATTTTCATTCATGTGGGGGATTGTTGAAAATAATACTATTTATAAGTGAATGAGAAATTTATTTCTCACATGATTGGAAATAGAGTATAAACTAAGTGATGCTTGACTCGTGTAAACGTGTGGCCTAGAGATCGATCAAAGCTAAATCAGCACAGGAAAATGGAAAAACAAAGGGGGAAGAGATTGTTCTGTCGTCGACCATCATGTCTTAGGTACTCTGGTTGACGAACAGGTCGACGGACCTAGACAAAAAGGGAAAGTTACAAGCGTCAACTTTATCGTTGGGCAACGAACAGATCGACAGTAGACCTGAGCAGGAATATATATTTGAAATTTTTACAA